CGAATGAATTCTATTGTTGACGTCAACATTAAATGCTCATCAGCTCTGGGTCGGAATCAAATGCGGAATTGATGATCGTATCGGAATGAATTCTATTGTTGACGTCATCAATATTAAATGCTCATCAGCTCTGCGTCGGATTCAAATGTGGAATTGATGATTGTATCCGAATGAATTCTATTGTTGACGTCAACATTAAATGCTCATCAGCTCTGCGTCGGAATCAAATGCGGAATTGGTATCTGAATGAATTCTGTTGTTGACGTCAACATTAAATGCCCATCAGCTCTGCGTTGGAATCAAATGCGGAATTGATGATCGTAGCCGAATGAATTGTAATCAAGTCACGATGTTTGTGAATTGCGTAACCAATCCTCTCCTCTCAGTCTCGACCCTTCCCACTCATCGAGATGGTGAACCGATTGATTGAACTCAGTGACGGTGCATTGATTGAAGTCGGTGAATCACGAGCGGTCGCTGTCGGTTGATTTTTTCGCCGCTGTTTCTCGTCGGTACTCACGGCCATCACCGATTAGTAATTTGATTTAATCAGCACATCAACAGATTTTTATCACATTTCATCATAGAACTCTGTTCCAGACGACAAACGTTGTTCAAAATATCGCTCCAGAAGTATTCTTCCTTTCCTCCTCTCTCTCACTGCATCTCTCTCTCTCTCTCTCTTACACAATTCGAGAGAGAGAGAGAGAGAGAGAGAGAGAGAGAGAGAGAGAGAGAGAGAGAGAGAGATGGGTGTTTCTTGCTCCCCTTTGCGGTTGAGAGACGGAACTCGAATAGCTGAGGGAGAGTCTGTCTCGCCAGATGGTCATTCTAAGAACACGGGATATCCATTTAATGAAACCTTAAAAATAGAAACAAGAGATTCAACCCCGGGCAGGGGAGTGAATGAGAGCGAGAGAGATTTTGGGGGAGGGGAGGAGGGAAGGAGATCCCGTTTTTTCTTTCTGTATTGGAACTCTTTTTGCCATAGCTGTGACATAGGGGCCCTGCTGGAAAACGTTCTCTGATCTGAGCTGAGCTTTTTCGTTTGGGTGTGGGGTACGTGGCATCATTTTCCTGTCTTCATGTCAGCACTTGAATTTTACTGGAGAAGTATGCTTACTGTTTGCACTCGTGTGTGTGTGTGTGTGTGTGTGT